ATGCCCCTTTATATAAGTTTTTTAAAATTCCAAGTAAATGTCATAGGAATGTGAGAGTGGAAGGGGTTCAAATAAAGCAGAAGCCAAAAGAATTTCCCTTGAATGAACTAAAGAAGCCTCATTTTCTGGTGGTTTTTATTGGTGTTATTGCATTGATACATAATCTGAGGTTTGTTTAATGAAGAAATTGCTGGCATCAGCTCCCTTTTTTGCAATCGTAGAATGGTTGTGCTTCTCTGTCATGGATTCTGCATTACTCACAATGATTCTGTGGGTGTGTCTTGGTCGAATTTTAATCTAGGGGAAGAGATAACAAAAGCAACAGCATTTTGTAAAACCTTGAAGATCATCATCAGCTATATTGCATGAACTCTCATGGAGTAAGCCTCCTTCAAGGAATCTTGGTCAATCTGGAGAGGAAAAAAGGTTATCTGTGCCCCAGGATCAAGCAACATGACATTCAGGACGTGCTGTTTATGGCAGTGCTGTGGATCACTCAAGATTTTTTAAAAAATGACAATTCATGACAGCCATCAATGGGATAATCAAATATCTTAGTTTGGCTGTCTTAATTCCCAGTTCTGTTATTTCAAACTGAGCTCAACAAAAGGCATCACTCAATTTAACTACATCTGCATAATCCAGCAATTTCATGCTGGAGAATCCTTGTGAAGTTTCCTTCCTGTCCCCCCCCCAAAAAAACAGGTGAACTCTAGAGTGCCCCAAGTGTAGAGATCTTGTGGTGGTGGTTGTTGTTTCTGGGTGTTGTCCTTTCTGGGGTCACAACTCTGCCTATTTATTCTAGAGCTAAATCTCTTTATTGTGTGAAGAAGCCCAAAGAGCAATTGATAGTAATAGATACTGAGTGAAGGCCACATGCTGTGGTTGGGTGCAAGTTGAGGAAGAGATCTCCAGGATTATTCCTGATCAACCTGCCTCACAGAGGAGATTATTATTCTCATTTCCACAGAATGGGGATCCATTAAAAATAGTCTTCAGATGTGACTATCAGTTGACTTTTATGTAAACAAATTTATCTGAATTTGCCAAGCCCATGTAAGCATCTAAAACTGACTGTATTTCTTGGACAAACAGGTTTACTGTCTTGTGACTCCAGTCTTAATCCTGGAAGCCACGTTCTTAAGTAGTTACAGCTCTCCAGATCAAGCCAGTTTTGTTCCCCAAAGCAACATAAATTGTAGAGAGCCTTCTTCTTTTTCCTTGAATCTGTTCCCAGAATGAACCTACTTCACTTTGGCTCTTGTTGAATGAAACACATCAAAAGAGTTGCATAATTTTAGAGGCAAACCATTTGGTCCTCCTTGGGAAGTTCTGTCTCCAATATGCAGTTTCTGAGGCTTGCAATCATTTGAGCTCGTGGCCCATCCCCTATATTGTACAAGCCATTCCCAGCCATTCTTCAAATGTCCCTTGACTACAAAGGCCATGCTGCTTAGGATTTCTGGAGATTGCTCTCCAATTTGCCAAGAGAGCACTAGGTTGGAGAAATCTGGCAAGGAGTCTTGCACACTCTTCAGTGAGATGTTGACCCTTCCATCGGATTTGGGTTGCCTTTTCTGTGATCTCAACAGCTGTAGTAGCAGAGGTTGTCCCCTAAGTGGAGCCAGCCATTTGTTGACAGTGAAGATTGCCATTCAATGCCACAAAGGGGCCCTTGGTCATTTTGTGTGCCTCTTCTCCCATTCTTGCATCATGACAGGTCCATAGAGTTCATTTTTTGCATCCCACCAAACTTATATTCAGAAAGAAAGAAGACACTTCTGTTTCCAAACATCTACATATCAAAAATGGGGTTGGCTTGGCCCCTTAGCAGCCTGGTGTGGCCTCTATCGGCCTCTTGGATTTTTTAGCCTTTTTATC